CCCACTGTTCTCCTTCCACATGCTGCAGACACAAAGTCCACTAAGTCACACCACTGGCTTATGTTTATTTTTTTTCAAATGCATCCCTCTACAATCGCAAAGGTTTGCATAGGTCATGCATGTGTTGTGTGGGTTGATTTGGGCTTCTAGAATGGCTGACATACAAGACATTTGCTGTGAAACTGGGCTGTGTGAAACTCTTCCATCATAAAATTTTAATAAGGGGTAACACTATATGTCTCAGAGTTACACAACATTGCCCCAGGGTAACCTCTTAATAATTCCACAAGCAAATACCTTATATTAGACTTAAGCCACAGTCTTGGAGGCCTATTATGTGGTACATAAACATATCATATAAAATCAGACGGTAATGGGGGTAGAATGTGCGGTACAGACAGACCAACAATATTTCTACATATTGGACCAAACATAGAGGGCATAATATGTTATTTTTTTGGGACATATTTTTGTTAATATTTGGACCATATGGCACTGAGGGATAGTACACCCAATTAAAATTGTCATCTTGCAGAATGTCCAAGCTGCTCTTTTCCATTCATTGAATGTATAGTGTCTGCTCTCAAGCTCCAAAAATTAAAATTGAACTATTTGATTGAACTATTTTATGTAGTTTACAGCAGCCATTCTTAAAAAAAAAAACACATTACAATAATACTTTATGTATTTGTATGTATAATGAGACGGTAATCTAAAATAATGTTTTTCTGCTGTCACTTAGGAGTAGTAGGCTATAGCCTAATGATACATTGTGTGATATAGCCTATGATGAGTAGGGCACACACACTGTGCTATGGTGTGAGTGGTGCGCAGTCGTAGTGCGGCATAGACGCGAGCACATGGGGATTCACATGCGCGCGTATCTCTGATGCTGCACCGCATCCATCCATCCATTCACCCGGCACTGGCGCAGGACATGCAGTCCTGATTATTCTGTTCGAGTCCATGCAGCTCAACTTTGCTGCATGTAATGTGTTTACACTGTGTTCGTTATCGTTTCAGTCTGGAGTCTTGTGGGCATCAGATGGCTTTTGGACAACTCATATGTTACTACACCATCATGCGTCGTGCGGTCAGACCTCTTCTTATAGCCATATGAAGACATTGTGATAATATTAAAACGTGCATTCTGGAAATAAGCGAGGCGAAACAGGGAGGGAGCGACTAATCGACCCGACTGCAGTGAGTAGAGCTGGTCAGCTGGAACAGAACATGCTGTCTACATCAGATAAGAACCTGAATGATGATTTTTTTTTTAAAATAGTTATGTTGTTGATATTATTACTCGTACAATTTAAAGGGCTGTTTATGCGATGGTATGGTCGAAAATGTGAAAAGGAAATAAGGATCTAACTAACAAACTAAATAACTAACTTTTAAATAAATACATTCAGTAAGTTACCCTGAAAGTTCAAGATGCATCCCAAAATAATTACATCACCCCAGACCCAGGGCTATTCGGGCAGCAGCCTAATGGCAATAAATCTTGAATGATGGGAACATTGAGATCTGAAGCAGTCTGCCCCTACTGGCAGATCCAGTGTCAGCAGCGATTTATTCATTGAGGATTAGCCTGCATGACGTTAAAAGACTAAACCTACCGACCTCAGGACAGAACAGACCGAGCCTGCTTTATCAACCATGAACATGTGTAAAAGTCAGCATCTGGAATTAAACTGTCTTGAAACAGCAAATAAGTTTAATTACCAAATTGTGTTGCCAGGTCTGTGTAACAAAACCAGCCTAAAGGCCAATCAAAAATAGCCCAAAACCAGCATGACCCTATTCAAATATCAAAACTCGACATATGTGCCACACCCATACCTAAATACATATTTTACAGTCTTTGTTATGTGTTATACACAATTTTAACTTGAAAAGCACTAGTAGGCCTATTCATAAATAGTCTGTTTTCATAAAAGAGCTCAAAAGGCCCATCTCTCACAAAAAATATAGCAGTTTTATCATTGGTAAAGCATTTCCATACAATTACAGTTTATGTCAAAACTTTATATAGGCTGCTACCGTGGGAAAAAAATCAACCCGTGCATGGCAACAGTTTACAAAAGCCCATTTCTGATGTGCACTTGGCATCCACATGCTACTGGAAACCATTTGGTAATAGTTTTAATGGTAAATGTGGTTTGCATTGGTATTTGTAGTTTTGTTGAAACCATTAGCACTTCTGTGATAGTTTCTATTGTTTGTTTGTTTTTAGCAGGGGAGTAAGATTGACACCCTGCAGCAGGACCTGCATTAGAGCTTAACTTCTCTTGAGGTTAATTTAATTCAACTTAATTTGAGTAAATTTAAATTAGGCTATATGACAATGAATTTTTTTTTTTTTTTAAACAAATCTTTTCCAATATTATAAAAAGCAGGATTGTGGTACACAAATATAAACCAAGCATATTATAAAATAATATATATATATATATATATATATATATATATATATATATATATATATATATATATATATATATATATATATATATATATATATATATTAAAAAAATAAAAATGCTGAAATATATTGAATTTGTGACAATGAATTTTGAGAAATGTTTAAAACAGAAGTATTTTTATGAGCGGTTGCAATATTAAGTGATCAATTTAATTGTTGGTACCATATTTCATGTTTGACAGGGAAATAACGCCACATTTTAAGCTCTTTATAGATGTTGTGGTTATTGAAGTGAGTTTCAATTTAATGATTTGGAATCAAGCTTGAAAACGCCGCGGTTCCCATAGCAATAAAATAAGCAAGATGAGTGCAAAGAGCATTCAATGCCCATGCGTAGTAACGCTTCATAGAGCAGCAACACGCCATAATGCTAGAAATAGAAGCGCACAGTGCGCATGTGTGGCAGCGCTAATTCACAGTGCCTCAACACAAGCGCTTCACACAGCAGTCTGCGAGGACAGCGCGCTGGTAGCGCATACAAACCTGACCAAGAACGGTTAGGGATAAAATATACATGACACCCGTGAGAAGAGTGAGTACTTAGTTTATGTCTTTGTTTTATGTTTGAGCGTGTCTGGGGTGTAAATATGGCTACTTTAATAGGTTAAAGGGTTTATTTTAACGGCAAAAGGCGCCGCGATGGTTATCCGCGGCACAATAACCTTCTTTGTTCAGGTAACACGTTGAAGCGCCTTAAAAACATCAATATTTTACACTCGCATCATTAGAACATACTGTTTACTCCTACACGAGCCATTAATATGCGATATTAACGTTTATATTTCACCATTAGCTGGTTTATTAATCTGTTCAAAATTTGTTTTTAAGGTGAATTGGTGTTTACGTGAATGCTGTCGCTATTTATTGTTTGTTTTATTATAACATCAGTTTAATACTGTTTTTATATAAAGGAGTCTTCTTGATTTTATTAGGTTATTGATTCTGTTTTACAGTTTTTGAATTGAAATAGTGTTTCGACTCTGAGCCGGTGTTCAGTTTTAGCTTTAGCATGTAGCCTGGCAGTAAAATGGAGGACGATAATGACCAAATAAAAACACATCCTGATTGACTAAACTTTACTGAACCGCAATAAAAACAAACCACTTCTGTACAACACAGTAGTAGTTTTCCTCGTTATTGTATTTTGTTTCTAAAACCCTCACACCTCAACCATATCCTTATCCACTTTAATGTTGAATTGTTAATTAATCTATGTAACGTTAGGTATTCCTGTAAAATCATAACACTTACTTTTTGAGTGTTAAATGTGTCAGTAAACACTGTCATAGAATGTCTTTAATGGAGTTTTTGTAGTGGGTCCATAACAGAAACATGTTTAGTGGGATTATGTTTATTATTTAAAACACACTTTCACTTTGTCATTGTTTAAATATGACTTCTAGGTGTTGGTTTAATGTTAGTACAGGACTGAATCAGTGTTTGTTGGCTCCCTTATTCAGTTAACAAAATGGTTGGCAGCCGGTCGGCCATAATTTCCCTCACACACTACTGCAACGTGGCTGAATCACCCCCAACCTTTGTGTCTTCAGACACAGGCCGGGGCCCGTGTTAATCCATTGCACGTGTGTTACGATCACTGTGGTTACTGCAGTCTGGGGAGGAGAAATAGGAACCCATGACATCAGATAGTGTAGACGCGTCAGAGATGGGGTTCATGAACAATCACACAAACAGGAAACATTGCCCAAGAGGGCTGTCATTTTACCGGAGGAAATTAATTCAGAAAGTTCAGAACTGAATAAGCAGTGCTCTGTATTGTGTACTCGTGGTCTTGACGTTTTAAATATATGTTCAGACAAGATTGTAACATTCTCTTCCGTATCCTTTGTACGATCTCAGAACACGGATCAGACTAATTCATTTTCCAATGTCTCCTCCATAGAAAAGGGAAATCCTATTTGCAAAGTGCTCATAAGGATTGTAATTGTAAACAACTTTGAGTTTTGGTCTTCTGATATATGGTAAATTGTTGCTAATTGTTTGTTTTTTCCCCTCTGTTTTGCAGGGTATCCCAGTGTAAAATGGAGGATAGTTTTGATTGCGACTGCGGTGAGCTGGAGCCGCCTGATCATTGAGAAGGAAACGTCTCACTGAGATCACAACCCTTTTGGTTTCCACACATCAGGTGCTTAAAACAGGAAAAGAAAAAAGTAGATTTAACACCATTTACTTGGACCGCTAATAATGCTGCTACTCAGGGCCAGTCATACACTGAAAATTTCTGCACTGTGACGATGGTTTTATAGTTAGTGACTTTAATTATTTCGGTTGCTTTCAAAGATATTTCATTGGCCTCCAAATTCATTCCATTGTACCCTATTAAACATAGAAATAAATAAAAATATCCAACAAACTTTGTAAAAAGCTGCTAAAAAGTGTTGTGTATGATGACAACATATCTTGGCAACATATCCAAATCAGTTCCCAGCATCTCCCAAAATACGCCGTTACAGTCGGTCGGGGAAAGCGCTCCAGTCTTTGGATGCTTAGGTTGGTCTTTCTCATCTAGCTCTAGTAGTTGCAACTCAAGATCGGTGCATATCAGATAAATCAGAAATCTTTCCAGCTATAACATCTGCAAAGAGCTGCTATTCTAGACCGCAAAATGGCAGAGAAATTTGAGAGCCTTATGAACATTCACGGCTTCGACCTGGGCCCTCGCTACATGGACCTGAAGCCGCTGGGCTACGGGGGAAACGGACTGGTCTTTTCCGCTGTCGACACCGATTGTGACAAGAGGGTCGCTGTGAAAAAGATAGTCTTGACCGACCCTCAGAGTGTCAAACATGCACTACGTGAAATCAAGATCATCCGCAGACTCGATCACGACAACATCGTAAAGGTGTTCGAAACCCTGGGGCCCAGTGGCAGGAGACTTGCGGAGGACGTGAGCTCTCTGACGGAAGTCAACTCCGTGTACATCGTACAGGAGTACATGGAAACCGACCTCTGTAAAGTACTGGAACAGGGCTTGTTGTCCGAGGACCATGCACGGCTGTTCATGTACCAACTGCTGCGAGGACTCAAATACATCCACTCGGCAAACGTGCTTCACCGTGACCTGAAGCCTGCCAACCTCTTCGTCAACACCGAGGACTTGGTACTGAAAATTGGGGACTTTGGACTCGCCCGCATCATGGACCCACACTATTCCCATAAGGTATTTAAAAAGTGTTCACTTTCATATTTATCTCTTTCAGTGTTTGAAGTGTGTTCCATCTCATTGAAACCCATCCAGATGGCGTCTTGTATGGCTTAGCTATGAATGAGCTTTAATTCCATTCACTGATTCGTTGTTTCACAGGAAGTAAACAGTAGTGCGACAGTCCTTGAAATGACACCAACTTCCTGTTTCTCTGACTCCCTTTCCAATACGTTAACTTCCACTGCAGTTTCCTCATATCTGGTTGTTTGTGTCTTGTGTGTATTGAAAGGAACAGACAGGAACACTACAGAAATATTATGAAAGAATGATACAGCTGTTCCTTTATGGAATCAGAGTGGAATGTCCAGTATTTCTCCACATCCTGAATGTAGTTATGTAGGGGTAATTTCACTGATGTTAGAGGCTGTGGCTGGATCCAAGCATACACGTGTCTCAAATTTGTATTCATTTCTCCTCTATGGGCTCACATGATCATATGCCAGCCAGATCTCCTCTCACACATGTACTCAGACAAGCCTCCTCCAAGGCCTTTTAGAGCGAGAGCTGTTCCTGCTTCAGCTATGAATAGCTGCTGTCACTCCCCCACACATACTCTGGTTGCGTCTGGGTTTGTTCTACAGGGAACAAGAAAATTGAGAGACTATATCAGGCTCTGGTCCTGTAATTACTGATTCAGCTGCTCTACTAGCTTGAGCACTTGAAAGTTTGAGAAATCAGATTCATTGACCATGTTTACGTGCATAGAAAAAAGCTTAAATCAAAGATTTGAGAATATATCACATCTGTCATGAAAACAAGTTTTTATTACAGTCTCACTGTTTAAATGTTTATTTCAACAACAAATTGGAGTAAAAACGAAATGTAATGGAAAAAGTTTACAAAAACTGCCATATGTGCAGTTTAAATATACAAATCTTTTGAGTTTAATTTATGTAATAAATAAATACATTTTTAAATACAATTTTCAGTTTATGGCTAAAATAAACCTTTAATTTCAGTGTTGGTGTTTCTGTAAAAAATTGGTTTTGGTTCATCAGTAGTTGGAGTATTCTGGAATAAGCGTATTATGAAAAACTTGACGCATGCATGCTCTTTTCCCACTGTTTTGTTGTCATTTGAGTTCATTTTTAGTACACTTGCACAGTAATTTAACCAGCTCATTCATTTTAATTCAAATGAGCGCAATGAATGAGTGTGAAAGTCTTGATGCTTTTACCCATCTGTTACCCCTTTTCCACCAACAAGAACCGGGTGCTGGTTCAGAGCCAGAGCCAGAGCTGGTTCGGAGTTGGTTCGACTGACGAGCTTACTAAGAACCGGTTTGCCTTTCCACCGGCTAGAGAGCCACGACAGAGCCAGATCTTACGTCACTGCATACGTCTCATGTTGCCCAGCAACGCTATAGTGCGGTAGCGCCAAACACAAACACGCCAGGCTTGTTCGAGATGCATCGGCTTCTCGCAGATCGATCGCCGCATGACATCAAAGCACTGCGAAAGCGATCCAAAAGCACAAGGAGTCGTATGATCTCCAAACACTCCCGCAGCTCCGATTGGTCCGTGCCACTCCGATGCATCTCGAACAAGCCATCAACAATAACGGACATTGCGTTACTATGGATGCTCATGTTTTGCAAAAATACATCGGAATCCAACGCGTTTGTGCAGCTCGCCGTAACTTACATAGACGGATATTATAATCAAGCTGCTATTAGCTCGACTAGCTGCTATTTAAAAATGGCGGTCACAAGTTTCTATTCGTCTTGTTGGTCACGGTAACCCCGCCCCCAGCCCCTGACGCAAGCGGTTCTTACTTGGCTCTGTTCTAGACCAGCAATGATTTGGTGCTACTTAAGAACCACTTTTCCTGGTTTGGAGCTGGTGCTTTGCGTGTGGAAAAACAAAGAACCGAATTGAAACTAGGCTCTGGCTCCGAACCAGCACCAGCTCTGCCTTGGTGGAAAAGGGGTATGTGTATGATTTATGTCCCTTATTTTGTAATCTTGTGAGGAATTTGTTTCCTCTTTGCTCCAGAAATGGTTATCTTGACTTTGATAGCTGAACTTTTCACAGTACCCGTTTCTTATAGTGCTCAAATACTGTTTTTCAAACACACTTTTCTGATTAAGGTTTTGAAATGACAGAATTCCAATTAAAAGTGGCACATGTAACACATTTACATAACCCATAGGCCTACATAACCAAAATCTCATATTCATTTGGATATTCACGTTTATGGTTACTGATTCTCAGTAAAATGTCATGTTTTAGTAGAAGAGGCCAGAAAAGATGTTGAGAAGCAAACTTTCTCACACTTTTGCTTCTATCCATTCCTCTTTCTCTCGATTTTTCTCTTTGCTGCATTGAGTATTGTCAAACTGCTGTGTTCTTCTCACTTTTGCTGACCTGTTTAAGCTGTTTAGTGCATTGATGGATGGAGAAAGAGAAGAGTGTGTGTGTGTGATGCCTTTGCGAATTGACCCTTTCCCGCAGTCAGCACTTCAGTTGTGGCTTATGGAGGTTTGTGGGAAGCGCTGTCTCTACACTGGACGTGACCATTGTCGAGACAAGTTGTGCCGCAAAAGACTGAGTCTACACTGGACGTGACACAGCGACCACTCCAAATTCATATGTCCCTGTCAGACAGCAAGTGCTTGGCGTACGGCAGAAAAAGAATTTTGCATCGGCTATTTGTCGCTGCGCACCAGATCCAGTCTAGACAGTATCACTGATTATAATGTGTTCTATTTTCTTGTCACATTGTTTCGCGGCGTTCGCGTCTGCGGTATACGGTGTCAGCCATTCCAGTATGTAGTTTTATATTCTTTTAAAAAAATATATTCTTGCACACGTCCATTGACCTTGACATCAAATGTGATGGGATGGTAGGGCAGAGGGTAGAGCACCACGATCAATCGTTAAAAGGTTGTGTTCTTGATTCGGACACCTATGCTATGTTATTCCTAAATGACAATGATTCGGCTATGACTATTAAACCTTTGACAAGTACGATCACAGGTGAACATTAAAATCTGTGTTTGTGTAGCCGCTGACCCCGATTGAGCAGTTGTCATGTATAAGTATGAAACGGCTTTACAAAGTCTTTTCAAACACACTATTTTTGTGTTGCAATATAAAAGTTTAAAAGTGTATAGATATACAAGTTTATAGTTTGGAATTGGATATAAACACTGATGTCTATGGTAGTGATCAAAATAGAGTAAATCACCTTTTGAAAGTAGCTTGATGCTTCAAACAAAGATTTTACCACATCATTGTCATTAAAGCAATCATTCAGGAGTTTTGTTAAATACTGATTCTTCCAGTAATTAACCAAGTGAAGTATTTGAGTGAGTCATTGAATCATTCATTCAAACAACTATTAATTAAATGTTTTTAATTAAAAAGAAAATTGTCGGCAATTAACATTTTGTAAGAGTCTCTAGACTAAATTGCGTGTTATTTTGTTTAGTTGTCTTTTCAGAATCATGGAGGAATTAAGATCTGTTTTAAACAAGAAATCGTGATTCTCAATTTACCCATAACTGTGCAGTTGTAGCATAGGGGATCATTTTTAGTGAATTAAGTCTTTCTCTTCATCCAACTAAAGGGTTGTTTTGCTTCAAAAGACAATCCAATGAAGTCAGTCTTGAAAATTGCCAGCATCCAGTAGGACAGTTTCTTTCCATGGAAATGGGGTCAGTTTTGAAGAGCTAAATAAGATCTAGCTGCAAGCTATAATTCAAACAGGCAGTTTAAGTACCACATAAGCAAAGCTCTCTGGCTGTTTAAGTGCTAAATATAAGCAAAGCTCTTTGGCTAAAAAAAAAAAAACATTGTTTGGAGCATGGCAGAACTAGCCAGAGCTGGAGAAAGTGTAATTAAGAAATGTTTGAAGGAGGTTTCTCAGACCTTTAGAGGTAATGATTCATGCGTGACTGGAAGCTCTGACTCGAACCCTTCCACATTCAGAATGTTCTTTGTGTATGGAAGAAAGTAATGTGATGTGTGTTTGGTGGATTATTATTCGCTGCATCAGAGGCAAATGATTTGTTAATTGGGACATAGGTAGCCTGGCAAGCCAGACCTACATCAAGATGTTAGGTCTGGGAACTCACAATTGTCATACCTCAATCCGAGGGGCGGGATAAACGGTTGTCTTTCAATATCCCTCGGCAGCGCTACAACCAACCAGAGCAACGAATGGCTGTGGCTGAGTGAGTCCCATGCGGTTTTCCACCTGTGAACCAGCTAGTTGGTATATTAAACTTTTGCCGTATCCGGTCGTCAAAACTCTGAACACATCTTCCTGTTTTAGGAATGACTTAAGTGACGTTCTCCTAACTCAAAGTCATCCAGAGTCCCGGCCAAAGTCGATTCGAAAGACCGCTGTTCGCCAGCAGCATCTTGTTTGTTTTCAAGCAGAGGGAAATCACACGGAACCGTCACAACTCTGCCGTCATTATGTTAAGCCCCCCCGCCGACTCTATACACGATGTGATTGGCCGGACCAGTTTTTGGTTTTTCTAGCTCAAAAGTCTATGGAGAGTTGCTAGACCACACTTTGCAGCAAAATAAGTTTTGCTGCCGCTAGGGTGCGTCTAGATTTCTAGGTTAGGACATAGGCCTATTTTCTCACTCTTTTGATAGTTCTTTGTTACGCTAACATGAGCTTTGTGCCAAACTAGGAATCGCTGATATGGATTTTAAAAAGTCCACTGCCGACACTTAGTTATCAGCCATACAGAAAAACTTATCGGCTGATGCTGATTATCAAATAATTTTAGATATCGACAGATGTTTTGGTTGACCACTATTCCAAACCATAGCCACTACTACCTGAATGGGAAACTACCTTCAAAGGCTGCATCCTAACTAGAAGTTGAAGTTTTTTCCTCTTTTCCACCTCACTTTTAAATCGCTTATGAATTAGTGGCAGCTCGAGAGCGACAAATGTTTGAATGCTGGGTTCATTATTATTCTTAATGAAAAGCA